AAAAAGGAAGAAAAATTAGGAAGCATAGGGAATATACTTAATTTGAGATTTTAATACTGATACATTTTTTTATACTTTTATAGTTTAATGTGGAAGTTTTGTGTAGTTTAATACTTTTAAAATAACTGCTTATATAGGATCTACATAAATGTTTGGGGCTCCTACACAATAATTTGATAGGCATTCCTTTTGGCTAATTTATAAGGAAGTTTTACTGCTGAATATCTTGAACAATATAGCAGCCAGATGGTTTTTAATAAAACATTAATGAGACCAGATGGTTCATAACAAACTATTATGGAAGACTTTTGAGACATGCAAGGAAAGTTACCACTTCCTAAGTCTTCATTTATTGTTGTTGTAAAAGAAATATAGTTCTGTGACTGCCATCTAATCTACAATTTAAAGTTAGAAACAGTAAGTTCATGCAGATTCATGCAATCTGTTCTCCATATTATTATTAGAGACATCATAGAATCATAGAATGGTTTGGTTTAGAAGGAGACCTTAAAGATCATCTAATTCTAACCCCCTGCCATGGGCAGGGACATCTTTTACTAAATCACATTGCTCAGGACCCCATTCAGCCTGGCTTTGAACAACTTCCAGGGGTGAGACATCCACAACTTCTCTGGGCAGCCTGTTCTAGTGCCTCCCCATCCTCACAGTAAAGAATTTCCTCCTAACATTTAATCTAAACTCTTTTTCAGTTGGAAGCCATTCCCCCTTGTCCCATCACTACAACTCCTGAGGAAGACTTCTTCTCCAGCTTCCACGCAACCTTCTCTTATCCAGGCTGAACATCTCTTACTTTCTCAGCCTTTGTAGGAGAGGTGCTCTAGTCCCCTTATCAACTTTGTGGCTGTCCTTTGGACTTCCTCCAACAGAAGGCCCACATCGCTAGATGACTTCTTAGATACCTATAATCTATTAGATAAGATCCTAGTCTACCTCTTCTGACAATTTTCTTAAAATCATGGGAAAATTATCAAATAATCACAAGGTTTTCATAGGTATATCTTTAAAGATACAGAAAACACCCTCACTGCAGGGTTGAGAGAGCTTTTACTATGGCAGAGGGGAGCCCTGTGCCACAACAAGTGTACTACAGAAAGGTAGATACAGAAAGGTACTGCTTTCTCCCATACCAGTGTCAATATTTGAGGCAGCAAGATCCGAGTTAGAGCAAACAGGTTATCCTGAACATGTCTGCCTCCTTCTGCATCTCAGCATGGCACCCTGCAGTGGTCCTTCCAAGGGACTAAAAGGTCCAGAAGTGAACTCTTTTCTTCCTCATATTGGACTGTAAAAGTAGCAGAGATGAACCTGGCAATACAAAATGGCTTCTAAGTAGTGGCCAAACTCATCTTACAGACAAAATCTTCAGACAGTTAGAGGTGTCTCCTTCCCCTTGTCAGAGCAGAACAGACAGAAGCTCACATGAGTGGGTAGGGAAATGCAGCAGAATGGTTTTCTGACTGCTTTGAACTCACACAGTCCCTCCTGGCTTACTGCACTCTCCCACTCACCTCCCCTAGGCACGACACAGTCCCGTGCACTTTGCTAAGCCTGTCACTCGCTGCTGGCACGGTGGCAGGGCTGGTGACAGCTGTAACAGCAGGAGAGCCAGAAAGCTGTTGTTTGCAACAGGAAATGTTTCAGAGGACTGAATGATATAGGCAAAAAGGACAGAGCATCCCACCAAAACAGGAGATGAATTTCAATGTGAAAGACAAATGAGGCTGTTTAGTTGATTTGAAAGAAATAAGGAAATAAACAAATAAAATGCTGCTCAGATCTTTTATTCTCACAAAAGGAAATGGGCAAAAAAGAAGTTCTTTCTTTCGCTGGTGATTTGGCTTACCAGTTGCTGGACACCTTCAAAAAGATTTGCTACCCCAAATATCCTTCTCTTCTAAATAGAAGCCCAAAATAGTTTCACGCTTTCTTCCCACTTCCTCCTCAGAACTTAGGCCAGCAGACCATTCTGCAGCCAGTGTGAGGGTTTTAAAAAAAGGCCAGCATTGAGCAACAGAGACCTTTGGATGGCCTCTGGACACCTCAATATACAGGAAAAATTTGAGCAAGGGCTTTCTAGTCAGGCTGGATGCAGCCTGAAACAATACAGTAATGGTTACAAGGCATTACATACCATTAATAAATCTAATACCAAATGCTTATAGGATGCAAAGACCTTTTCTGTTCCTCGTAGGAATCACCATTCTGCAATGCTGACATCTTGTGGTGACTTGCTCAGTGATTTCTTAAATATCACACTTGAGGAATTTCACAGCCGTGCTCAAAAAGCATTCAACTATTTTGTTGACAGACTTTTTTTTTCCTTTTACATAACTGTCTTTTTTGTTCCTAACTCACTTATTATGTGCATTTTAAGTTGTGGCTGTGAAGCTCTCATGTAAATTGTCTCACTTTACTTAATTATCTAAATGAGGTAGCCGGAACTTGTCCCATATCAAAACCAGTTTGTTCCAGAGGCAAAAGTTTCAGATTTTCTCCTTCTGTTCCTTCTGCAAGAGGATTTTCTCATGCAGGAAAAGTGCAGAAGGATCTGCATTTCATGGTTCAGCTCAGGAGACGGAGCATGCGGCAGACAAATCCCAGTACACACCACACTCGGAATGTGTATTTCTCTGATATGATATTCTCCCTGCCGGCATCCCAGCAGGTCACAAAGTAACCATGGGTTGTGAATTTTTTCTGTGCACTGCACCTAAAGAACATTTCCACAAAGTCTGAATGCTCAAAGTGGTTGTTTAATCCTGAATGTCTCCTATTTGCAGCCAGTTTTGGTAACAGTCTTTGAAGCCTGTAAGTAAATTGCTGCATAACCCCAAAAGCATTTTCTAACACTCAGACTTATGTTTCTCTCTCTTCTAATGAGAAGCATCTGAAAACTATTCTACATCAGTGTGTGTCTTTCAAGTGGATAGAAGATTTCTGTTGAAGATTTTTCTTGAAAACCTGGGAATATTCCTGGTGTGATCACCCTTTATTTGGTGTACACGCAACTGCTGGCAATGTCCTTAAAATGACTAGCAAGTTTCACTAGTTTTATTTCAGTCCTCCCTCCCCAGTCAACATTTCCATGGCAATGTGGTTCAGTGCAACTTCCTGCCTTGATTTCTCAAAATATGCTTTAGCAGACTCTTGCATTTGAAATGGATCACACATTACCACTCCCTGGAAAAAAACACGATAGCTTATGAAACGTGTGCTATTACTGGCCAGATTATTACTGAAGCTAGCAATTCTGCAGCTCGGTGCTGATCCTAAAAAGAGATCTCTTGAGGATGTGTGGGTGCTTCTTCTCAGCATGGGGCTCTGAGAATGGAGCTTTATAATTTTTATTAGTTCATAAAAATTAAATTATCACAAATGCAGGTACTTAGTTCCATCCTGGCTATTTGTTCAAATTTCTGTAAGCAGGTGCAACCCCAGAAGGGAAATCTATTTTATCATCAATTCAATAAGGATGTCATCTGGGGAAATCAGAAAGAGGCAGTGAATTTGAATCTGCTAAAATTAGTAGGAAGGTTTGGATATTGTAAGTAGCTAAGGAAGAATTGGATCTACTTCAGCTATGTGCATTAACTGTTACCTCTCACCCAAGACTGTTCATTTAAGGACATTCAGCTTTCAGCTTCCCTTTTTTCCAAAGCCTGAGTGTTTGTTCATTAAGATTTGGTTATGTGACACTTGTGACTACAACCCACAGCCTCAAATGCTCTCTCCTCAAACCACAAGGGAAGTAACCAGCCAGTGGCATGTTTCATGTGAAAAAGATTTCTTTGATATTTATCATCTTGAAATACTACTCCTTGGGTCTTTGCAGACTCATCTGTTTCTCACTGTATCACTCCTCTGGCATCATAAACAACCAAACTATTTTATTGAGGTGTTGTGTTGTTCTCAGAGCGCTGAGATACGGTGACAGAGGTCAGTATTTCATGCTGGGGTTCACGAGCCTGCCCTCCATGCTCCACTGACCACATTTCTCATTTTCTGTTCCCTGGACTAGGGACCTTGGATTGGGAGTTTCCATTCAGACCACGGCAGCTTCGCAAGGCCCACCTAAAGGGTGGCAACTTAGAGCTGCAAAGCCGCAGCCCAAGACGTGGCGGGGCTGTTGCTTCCAGCAGACTTTGCACTGGCACCGTGCATTTCTGACCACGGGCGACCTGAGCCAGGTTTGAAAGGATGTCGCAAAGATTTCCAGCTCAACCGTGTCATAGAACATCGCTGAGAGGCAACTGCCTGTAGGGAAAGGCCTGTGTAATGTGACAGGGCGTCACCATGCCAAACCAGCTGCCCCATCCCAACGGGACTGATCCAGCCCCACACCGAGACCTCCCGCTGGGCATCGGTGCCGGGCCGCTGCCCGCCGCACCGGAACATGGCGAGCACGGCCAGCAGACCATCCCGCCATCCCTCACAGGGGGATTGTCAGCGCCCGGGGCAGCTGCGGGCAGGGATGGCGGGGGCGGCAGAAGCCGCCGGGGGGGCTCACAGGGGGCACGGACAGCGCCTCGGGCCCGCCCGCTGCCCTGTGCCGGGGCGGCGGCCCCGCCCGACATGGCGGAGGCGCCTCGGGCGCCGCTCCGCGCCCGCCCGCTCGGCCGGGGCACCCGGGCGGGGCCTGCGCTCCCCGCGCCGCAGCCCCGCGGGAGCCGCTCCACCAGCCACGGGAGCTTCCCAGGGCTGCTCGCACAGCTCCGTCTGCCCGGGAAGCCTCGCCCGGGGCGTGGCTCGGCTCGTCACGCCCCGCGGGCGGAGCACGCCGCATCCCCGTTGCCGGCGGCGAGCGCCGGGAATGCCGTGAGTACGGGGCGGGCGCGGGGCGGCGGAGAGGCCCGGCTGTGCCTGCCGCCCCCGGGCTGCTGCCGCGCCGCCCTTCCCGAGGGGCCAGGAGGAGCCGCCGGGCTGAGCTCCGCCGCCCTTCCCGCCCCGGGGGCGAGGCCGGATGGCCGCAGTTCCGAGCGGGGGCTTTCAGTGGCGTTTCGGCGGGGCCCGGCGGGGCGATGCTCGCCTGCCCGAGCCGGTCTCGGCGATGCGGGCGGGGCTGTGCTCACTCCGGACAAGGGCAGCTCGGCCCCTTCCCAGAGTCCTAGCACCTGGCAGCCCTGGAAAAAACGCCGCATCCCTCCACGGTGCCCAAGTCTTTGGAGACGCTGCGGAGACCTTGAGGCACAAAAGAGGGCCACATCCAGTGCTAAAATCTGTTGGATATGTTTCTGGAGACCACGTGCGTCCAAAGACTGAAACGCATTGTGTGAATAGCCCTGCTAGGCTTTGTGTATTAGCTCTTACGGTTGCTGGTTTTGTAATGCCTAATAGCGCTTCCAACACTGCGGCTCCAGCCCCGTCCTCTTTGGCCCTCAGGGGTTGTGTTTCCTTACAGCTTGGTTTGGCAAGGGGTGTGCTGGCATTGACAATCCGGTTGGCATCCTGTACCCTAATTCCCTGTATACTGTGCCCAGTGTGCTATGTAACCTTATGTAAATAGGGAAAAAAAAAGACATTTTTGTATTTTATGTAAAGGATGTAGACTGTAAGAAATATCAGGCACCTGCTGAGAACTTGCTTTTGTGCTGACAGAGGTAAACACTGATTATTCTTAAAGTGTTGCTTTGGATCTAATGTCCCACTATATTGAGTTAGGGAGCCGTGATAAAGCAAAGAAACTGGGTGAGATTTTTTTATTTAAGTAAACAATGAAGTTGCTGTAATTGTCTTCACTTGATCTCATCGCTGTCATTGAATGATCTTTCTGTAGCTCAGGTTCAGGCTAATTTTAAATTTCTGAGTAGGCAAGAAAGGTACTCCCCCTTCCTTTTCTGCTTTTATGCCTGGCTATCAATCTGTAAGAGTGAATTCACTCTGACAGACATTTCTTACCAGCTTTGATACCTTCCCCTGTAATTAAATTTTCTGGAGGCAGAGTTTTCTTAATGCTGGGTCCCTAACCAATCCACGTCCCCTCAGTCAGGATGCCGTCAATCCTGGTGGCTGGATAGGAGTTCCCTGATCTTGGCTAAGGGCGTATTCAATTGCTCTCTGTCTTTGTTTTGTGAACTAGGGAAACAAGATATTTGGGTGTGTTGTCAAATTTGTGTTAGAGGCACTATATCCAAAGAGACATAAACAGCAGTTTGGATAGAATATTCTTGCTTTGCAGGGACAGCTGCACCAGTAACTATGCTCCCTGCAAAGACATTCCCCGCACAGCAAAGTGTGGAAGATGCTGACATGCCATTTTGAGGCTGAAAACTGTCCCCTTTCTCCTGCCTGGTGAGTCTCGTCAGTCCTTACAAGCCCAGTGCTCTTTCCTGGATGTTCTTTTTGCCTGTCAGAAGTGTGGTGCCTGGGAATGAAGCCAAAGCACCATAAACTGGAAGATACATGGAATGGTGCAGTGGTTTTTCACATGAAGTTTAGTGCGTGTGTAACAATACTAGGAATTGGGTTTTGCCATTTCTTTTACGATAAACTCCTCAGAAATTGGCGGCCTTTTTCTTTTCAGAGACTATGCCTATGTGAGTGGGCTATGTAGGAAGGTGATCAGAATGAGCAAGCAGTCTTGTAAAGCACAGAAATGTTTGAAGAGCGTTATGCTAGGGAGAGAAGGCAGCTCGTGCAGCAGGCAATGAGAATTTTCCTGGTGGTCCCCTTCATTACACATCGGTCATCTGGCTGTTTGCAAAATACAGTGTCCTGCAAAACAAGTCCCAGGGATAAAGAAAATTAGTTTTGGTTTGGTTTGGTTTTTTTTTTTTTTTTTAACTTCTGCAGTGGAGCTTCATTGCTTTATTCTGTTAAAGTGTTCTCACTGAGATTAAAAGCAGGGAAATTTAAAGAGGAGAAATGCAAAAAATCGGTCTCAGTTCAGCTTAGGAAAAGGTCAGAGAACAAGAAAGTGAGTGGAAATACTCCCCAGTGCATACAGCTGAGGTTGTGCTGCAGGGTTTGTTGCAGCTGCAATTACAGTGAAAGCCCCAGAAGACTCTTTAGTAAAATGTTATGTGCCTTTGACATTGCTCAAATCCTTTCGATGCAGGTGTTGTTGGAAAACACCTTTTACTTGTACACCCTTTACTCCTTACATAGACTAGGCCATAAAGGATTCATGAGGAGGTAGCTACCTCAACATGAATTGGTAAATACTGTGTGAAATACCCAGAATGGGAAAAACTAATGGAAAGGTAAGTTTCCATCTGCAAAAAGGCTTTTTTTCTCCCTCGATACTAAAATACGGAAGCTGTGGTTGAAGCAGTAATATCTTTATTCAGGTTTCCATTTTCTGTCAATTATGCTGAGTACTCACTGCAATATCCATTTTTGTTTGAAGTCTATTCTGTCTTACTCTGGTCTGGACTTGTCAATGACATAACTAAGAGCTCTGCAGAGCAAGGCAGGTAATTAATCATAAATGTGTGGATAGCCAGCTGAGACTGCTTATGATCTTAGTTGAACTTTCCAGTCAGTGTCAGCTGGGGGATTCAAAGGACCACTGCCAGATTTTTTAAAAAAAAAGTATTCTAGAGACACCATTAGCTCAAAAAACATGGAGTTGAAAAACTGAAAAAGATGAGATTTCTTAAGAGGTTCAAATATTGGTTTATTAGACTTGCATGTTTAGCATTTGTGAATGGTAATTTTTACAATTTTTTCTGTGCATTTAACCAGTTTCCCTCATTGAAAAAATTCCTTATAAATACTGCAATATGTGTTGCTGAGGATAAAGAAAATCTTACATGATAAGAGATGCTGATATTTTGTAATTAAAATCATTGAAAAGCTGTAATAAAATATGTTTGTAGCTGTTTAGTGGATATGAATAGCGGTTGCAAATAACATATGTTCAATTTAGCTGTAGTTATGTAAATAGAAAACAGAAAATCTGAAAATATTGGAGATAAAAAAAGAGTTCCTAAAGAAAAAAATTAATTGAAACTTTCCAGGGGTGTAGTTCAGAAACAAAACTTAGTAAAAAGATGCCAGCTCAAATATTTGTTGCTTTTTATGGAATAATAGTTATTATCCCTATATATGTTTACTCTTACTGAAAAGATCAAGATAATTTGTGTGAGTAATAATTAGCTACCTTATATGGAGTAAAATGGTTTTATGTTAGGTAATAAAAGAAGGATTATTTAATCTTGGGCCACTGCCCCAGTGCTCTCTTCATCCCAGCCAGTCTCTGTGGGGAGCTCATTAGTGGATGCTTTTTCATAGAATTTCAGGTAGGCTGAATAAGTTTTTTCTTCTCTAATAGATTAATTACCTGTGAATGTTACCTTTAACTAAAATTCTTTTGTTAGTTACTGTGAAAGTTTTTTTATTTCAGGATAAATTGTTTGAACTGTCATTCCCAGGACAGAGTGGAGAAGATGGGATAAAAACATTACCTGTTCTTTCATTAATACCATTACTATGAAGAACTTCTTGAAGTGACAGTGTAAATATTTATACTTTCCAACCATAGTTGTTTGAAAACAGATGTATTCTTTCAGGCTTTAACTGATTCCTCAAGATGTTTGCAAAAGCAACAAAGAATTTTGTGAGAGAAACTGACAGTGGAGGTGACTTGATCCCTGTGTCCCACTTGAACGCCTCAGACAAGCTACAGCTTTTGAGCTTAGTTACGAAGAGGAGGAAATTCTGGTGCTGGCAGAAGCCCAAATATCATTTCTTGACAGTCACCCTGAGTGATGTGCTTACTGAAGACAAACCGATAAAACCAGGTAAAGCCATACTCGGTCAGCATTATTACTGCAGATAAAAAGAATACAAACCCTAATCTGCTTTGTTATTATTCTCATTCATGTTACTAGAGGGCTTCTTTTAGAGGAATGCTCTGAAGTGTTCTCCATCTGTGGAAATTAGATGAATGCCTCTTTTCTCACTTGACTATTCATTTAACTAAAACGGGTAATAATAAATGTTTGTTAAAAAAAAAAAGTTTTGCCTGTGCCTGCAGTTGAGTGCTGAAGATTGTCAGTCCTACTGTTTAATAACAATGTTGTCTGCAGTCACAGGAACTCCTGTATAATATTTTTGACTGGTTCCAGTATGTGATAGTGTGAAACTGTACTGTGCTCCGAGTGGAAAAGCAGTGAATAGACAGTGTGTTGTTGGTGTCAGTAGCCCAGAGGGTGCTTGCCCAGGCCAGGCCAGGCCAAGCAAGTTTTACCACTGCTTCCTTTCATCCTGCACAGTCTGTTAAAAATGGTTGACCCTTGTACTTCTTTCTTCGTTCAACTACAACATCCAGGTTTTAGGATTAACAGGATGGAATCCCGTATTTCTGTATGTCACAATTCCATACAGGAAAATAAATAAGATGTAAGTTAAGGTATTAGCTTGGAAGATTAGCTGATTCTGAGTCAGTTCTTTGGTTTATAGGTATATAAGATTCAGAGCTGTTTTAAAACAGTTAGATGCTTCAATTGGTTTTTGGTGGGCTTTGGGACAGCTCTGTAAGGAGATATGCCAAGATAATGCCAAAATGCTAACCCTGTTGTACAAGTGGGTCTGCTTTGTAGCTGTAAAAGTTTCAGTACTTCTTTATAAATCTTCCGTAGCATTTGAGCTCAGTATTTCAGTCACCTTATGTATTCCTAAAATGGCAAAAATATAAAAGATAGCAGAGCAAAGATGATGAAAGCATGAAGGAAGCAGAAATAACAGTTATAGAGCTGTAAATTTCATTATTTAGCTTTCGATGCTGTTCCTTGCCTTCACTAACTTGTCATATTTTCTGTAAATGTCTGTTGTTCCAATCACTTCAGGACTGTTTCAGTACTCCCCTTCACAGGTAGAAATGACTTTTATTGCTTTCCTAGTGATTGTGGAGTCTGACTTTGCAAAATATATGGGGAAATTTGAAGACTTTGTTCAAGGAAGTATTGAAGCGTCGTTTGTAAAGATCAGGCTGGGAGCTGGAGGGAAGGGCTATGTGGAAAACGAGTCCTCATTTGGAAACCTGAGGAAGCAGGAGATTGACTTGCAGCAGCTTATGAAAGACGTCAAGGACAGGTATGTTTCTAACGTGGGCATCGCAATGGCCAGGAAAGCTTAGAGCTGAAAATACTTGGGCCAGCTACAGTCACTGAGCAGTCGGTTTTATGGTATTGCTGTAGTTTGAAAATTGTTTTTATTGTAAGCTCTCATATTCAGGGGATCAGTCATATATACAAAAATGAAATTTTCTGTAGTTTGAAATCTTGATGATCGAACTTTTCCCTTTTATTTAAAAATATGTCTCTGTGATTTCATTTTACATATGTGCATGAATACATTACCTACCCCCTTCTTTGGGTGACTGTACTGAGGTAAGAGTCTGCAAAAAAATGCATTAGTTTCTCTGTGTTACTGGAGCAAATGCTGTGGAAACTGAATTCTGAATTACTAATATTTTTGTAAGCAGGCTTTGTAATTGTGTATGTGTGTGCAAGCAACTGCACTAGAAAATTGGATTATTTGAAGTTGGAGTAGCAAAGGTGAGCGAGTGTGGTCAACATGTTTTCTACTAGTTGAACAAAATACAGATCTATTGCTTCCTGTTATATGCTGTATTAACTGAGGAAAACCATATTCTGTATTTTTCAAGAGAGGCAACATTTCCTCACTTTCTGTTCTACTCTGAAATTGGATTTATTTAATGTTGCAATAAGACACTCGTGGACCAAAGTCTACTTGGCAAACAGCTGACAAGTCAGGGATCTACTCTGTTTTACAGGTCCTGACTCATGGGAGATGAGGGTGGCTTGGTTGTGACAGCATTGTACTCTAGATCTGCAGCAGGGGGTGTAATGCAATTTAATAACCTTTGCTGATGCTGTGAAGATAAAGATGATAGCTTTTTGTTATCAGTGCAGAAGTTGTCAGAAGCTGTGTAAATTTGCTTTAAATACACTGATGTTCTGGAAATAATCAATTCTCCATTTTCATGGGAACAGATGGCTGGTGTTCTTTGTATTATGAGCATTCACAAGGCAACAGATTTATTCTAATAAGGCACCTTGCTCTCTTTGTACTAAATGCCTTACTAAAAGCAGAAAATAGTGGGCTAAATGTGTGTACCAAGTCTGTAAAATTAATATGCAACTAATATCAGGAAAATAGTGTCAGTCAAGATTTAGAATCTTGTTTCTAGCACTAGAAAAAGTCCTACAGAGAAACAAACTAGAGCGACTTTGATTTAGATCAGAAAGCTTTTAGTTTTCTGAAGTAATTTACCTGCTTTGCTCACACAGAGAATCCTCCTGTAGCGAAGCAGCACATCTTGGGTTATAATCCTGAGTGTAACTAAATACTGAGAAATATATTATCTTCTTTTGAGTAAATCAGTAGCTCTACACCAACGTATGTGTAACTGTAAATAAGGCTGATGTGTGTGCCACTTTATGCAAGGAGCTGGTTCTCGATTCATAGGCAAGACGCTCATAGCTTAATAAAGCTTATGATGCACAGTGTATAACTGATACCAAGTCAGTCTGCCTTCTGCCAGGTCACTGAAAATGATGAGGATAGCAGAATTTGTGGGTTTTTTCTCCAGTGTAATGCAGAGGCTCACTGGAAATGGTGGAAATGCCTTATAGATGAAATTCTGCTTACTTCTTTATAAATATTCTCTGGTTTATGATTGATTGTGTCCAAGCTTCAAGCTTTCATCTTGTTCGTGGAGCATATTGTGGAATTCAGGAATGCTGTTGCCTACAGGTTAGTGATTTTTGGATGCAAAATGTTATAGCACTGAGAGGATGTTTACCTGTCAGTCCTTGTGAAATGAGCATCAGCAAACTGTTCTTGATGTCATTAAATGACACGTAGTGCTTGTGCTTGTTTGATCAGTTATTGCTTCATTTATTATTTCTACATATGTAGCCCAATCAAGTTGCATTTTAAAAATGTTCTTGTATTAGGCTGATTAAGACACAGTTGTGGATAAATAGCAGAAAACTCTAAAAGTCAAAGCCGATATGCCTTTTAAACTAAGTCATGTGAGCCTTCAGAGTTCAGCAAGCTGGAAGTGCTAGTGGCAGCTGATTGGTTTCCTGTCACTTCTTAGGTGAACCTTCTGAAGGAGAATCCTACTGATCTTTTAATTAGATTCCAGATGCTGCAATGGCTCCTTCTTCTGAGAAGGGATGACAACTGAGGGATGTGGAATGAGATCCTTCCTGGTTTGCAGAAGCAGTGACATTGTAAACACAGAACACGTAATATGCAATATTAAAATAAAGTTAAGCTATTTATAGGTATATAAACTTGGCATATTTCATTTTACATTATTCTTGCTTATGTATTACATTGTGCTTGCTAGTTCACACAGTACTGTAACATACTGATTTCGGGTCAGAATCCTGTGCCTTTAACTCAGTTTGGTTGCTGTGGATTTAAAAGTATATTCCATCCTCTATTTTAAGGCATTCAGTACTGTCTGCCATAGGATCCTCACAGAGAAGTTGATGAAGTTGGGCTGTATGAGCTGACAGTAAGGTGGATTGAAAACTGGCTGAAGGGCTGGACTCAGAACGTGTTGATCAGTGGTACAAAGTCTAGTTGGAGGCCAGTGACTAATTACGTACCCCAGGGGACGATGCTGCGTCCAGTCCCGTTGAACATCTTCATTAATCGTCTGGGTGATGGGGTCAACGAGTGTACCCTCAGCAAATTTGCTGATGACACAAAGGTGGGTGAGTGGCTCATAACACCTGGAGGGTCGTTCTGCCATGCACAGGGACCTGGACAGGCTGGTCTGGTGGGAGCCTCATGCGATTCAACAAAGGGAAGTGCAAAGTGCTGCACGTGGCGCAACGCCAGGCGGTACGTGCTGGGGGCTGACCAGCTGGAAAGCAGCTTTGCGGAAAAGATGCTGGGGATCCTGGTGGACATCAAGTTGGATGTGAGCCAGCAATGTGTGCCTGCTGCAAAGAAAGCCAGTGGTATCCTGGACTGCATGAGGAGGAGTATTGCCGGCAGGTTTGGGGGAGGTGATCCTTCCCTCTCTGCTCAGCACTGTTGAGGCCAAACCTGGAGTGCTGTGTGCAGTTTCCTACTACAAGGGAGAGATGGACATACTGGAGAGAGTTCAGTGAGGGCCACCACGGTGATGAAAACAGCTGGAATACCTCACATTTTTAGAAAGGCTGAGAGAGATGGGACTGCTAAGCCTGGAGAAGAGGAGGCTTGGGCTAGGAGGGAATCTTATTAACGTATATAAATACCTGAAGGACACAGTCAGGCTCTTTTCAGCCCAGAGACCGAGCAGGAGGCAATAGGCACGGTCTGAAACACAGGAGGCTCTGTCTGAACATCAGGAAAGACTTTTTCACTGTAATGGTGACTGAGGATTGACACAGGTTGCCCAGGGAGGCTGTGGAGTTTCCCTCCTTGGAGACGTGATCCTAGGCAGACTGCTCTAGGTGGCCCTGCTTAAGCAGGGGGTTGAACCAGACCAACCTCAGCCATTCTGTATTCTTCCCTCCAGTAAAAAGGGTTATGAGGAGGTTCTGACCTCTGTAGTTCTCATGGATTAACAAATTTGCTTGCTTGTTTTTACTACTAAAAGTCATGTGAGGTGATTGAAAGAGAATTCTGAGGCAACAGTGATGGCAGAAATAGGACCAAGTGGCAGCAGCCAGTCACTTCACATCAGCTGCAGAAAAAATTGCCTGTCACTCTTTCATCATACCATGTGAATGATTCCTAACTCTGTGATTAGCACATTAGGAAAACAGTGTGTTATTAGCAGCATACTCTGGCATAGTTGAAAGATACTTTTACATTATTGCTTATTGCACTGTATTTGGATCAGTGAAAGTGCATATTATTGTCCACTCTGAGACAAAAATAAGTGTCTGTTCTTAATCTGAGTACAGTGGAGATTCAGATCATTTTGTTATTTATTAAGCCTCCTTGAGCATTTATGAGTGGCGAGAAAACCATTCACCAAAGGTGCTACATGGTAAAATGAAGTCACAGAATGTTTTGAGACAGGATTGAATAAAAGCAATTGTGTGTGTCCATGATTTAGAACATAAGGAGCATGCCTTATAAGGAGACAGGAGAAATAATAAGGAGAAAATAGAGGAGCTACCTGTCTCTTGCAGTCTGAGAAGTCTCTGGTATTCTTGGGGAAGATGTTCTATGAAGTAACTGTCAGGTTATTGTGTAGGGCAGACAGTGAAATGCTATCAATAAGCTGACTATTTCAGATGCCGTGTTCTGTAAGAAGTAGGTCAGAGAGATTATATTTGAAATGGGTTAGCAAAAGAAATATTATGCCATCTGTGTTTGGTGGAAAGTGGCAGAGTGAGGTCTGGTGGATTTTACTCCTTGGCATTCATCTGGATGTCTCTATTAGAGCAGGATCAAAGCTGGGTGAAGGCTCTCGCTGTACAGCAAGCACCATTTGTATGGAAGACATCAGACTATTGCACATAATAAATGCAGTGGAGAAGAGGCTGTGAATGTGAGCTGCCTTTGTCTCTACAGCCAGGAAAGGACTTGTGCTGAGGTGACCTTGCCCCCAGTGCAGGACTGAAAAGGTTTCTCACTCACGGGTGGTTTGGTTTAGTGAAAATCTGTGCAGGCTGGTAGCAATGCTGAGTCCAGTGTGAGGATGGAGAGTGCTCACAGCAGTAACAGTCTTGGTATTTTTAGTAAATTGGCAAGCTTCTTGCTTTGAAGATTCCTGAGTGAGTTACTGAGAAGACTAGGCAGGATTTGATAGAAAAATGGTCCTAAGGCCTGTGGCTTTGTGGACAATTCAGTCAAATTCTGTGCCTAAAGGAAAGACCCTCAGTCTCAGCAGTGGGGTTCAGACCAGGCTCCTGCTCTGCTTTAACTACGAGAGCCTGCTATATTGCCAGGTGTTGTCTGTTTTCTCTTCATTTGGTTTCTGCCTTTCTCCCTTCTTTTCTGCCTTCGTTATGCAGAAAATTGCCTTTGTGCTTCTGTTGTCCACTGCTTTTCTCACACAAGAAGAAAAAAGTCAAATGAAGGTGAAGAAAGTCTTTGCATTATAGGAGAATGGAAGTGTTTAATCCAGTTAAGTGGGGAGTGAGTCCAAAACTCAGAGAGCTTATTTTCTGTACATGTTTAACCTATAGAGCTTCCGGCGTAGTAAACCGTTGACCCTAGGAAGATCATTTAAGCAGAACAAACAATTAAGCAAAACCCCATAATCCTTTTAAATGATCTTTATTTATACAGGCTCATACTCTGTGCGTTGATAATGGGACTGAGCAAACCAAAATTTCATTGTATTTTATGCAGTGTTACTTTGGAGTGCTTCAGCTCAGGAGTACAGTGATGTAGGACAGGTGGCACAGGGTTGGTGAGGGCTCCTGTGCAATAGATAGTGGAAGAGATGGTAAGAGCAATGGTTGTAGAACAGAAATAGAAGCTCTAAAGCATGACCTGTAACATAAAAAAATGCAATGCAGTTCACATGCCTGCATGCATGTATAACTCGTATTATTCGGTGCTATGCTAGCAAGTAAGTTGAGCTCTTGCAAAAATGCAGTCACAGGTTGTGACCATTGCCCTGCAATACTTGAAGCCCTGCTCTGATTGTCAGACTTTAACCCTGTTGCTTTTTGCTCTTGATGACTGCTTTCAAAGATAATTTAGATAAGATGGGTATTTGCTTACTTCATGTCATCTCCTTCTTGAGTCACTGAGAAGAGCAGAATGTTTTGCCTTCAACAGGTGTGCCCCACTAATAACTTGTGATGTGCCCACACGCAACCCTAGAGTCTGTTTTATGATAGAAAGTCTAGAGGAGAATATTTAGCTGTGCTGCCCTAGATAAAAAGGTGTTTGTAGCTGTGGATAAGGGTATGTGTTTTAAAGCTCTGAATTCAGTACTTACTGAACTTTCTGGGCAGAGGAGAGCATTTCTGATGGCTTTGCAATTGGACACATCCCACTGAAGTCACTCGAGCCTTGGGACTGAGGCAGTGGCCATGTGAGTGCCACACATGCACCTCTGTGTGGAGGACCCCAGTCACCTTTGAGGTGGGAGTGCTGCATCAGGGGCCAAGCAGCGAGCTCTGTGCCCTTGAGCATTGGTGTTGCTCTGTAGCCTCGAGTGCTGTGGCAACTCCTCCAGCACTGTCTCCTAAATTTGCTCACTGGGCCTCTTTGCAAGTTAGCCTCTGTCTTCGGACTCTTCCGCTGCTGCTCTGCTGTTAGTTGTGCATCTGGACCTCAGAGCCAGTAGTGTGACAGGGTCTGAGCCAGTCCTGCCTCAGGCAGAATACTGTAGAAGCGGATGGAAGAAAAAGTCTCTCGAATTATTTTGTAATTTATTTGTATAGAGTTAGGTCATATTCTATATGCTTCTTTTATTGACATCCATTCAGAAATAGCAAGTCTGTATTTAATCTGTATTTTTCTACCTTAGATTGTTTGGGTTTTTTTTTCTCTCTAAATATTGGGGATATCCAGCAAGTTTGTCATCCTCTAAAACCAGCAAAAAATATACATGAAAAAAAGCCTCAAATTGCTTTATGATTCTTCATTGTATTTTTCCCCATGTTGCTTCCTAGATGTTAAAATTGCAAGGTCTTAGTGCGTTGATTTGTATTTTTGAGATGCTTATCACACCATTTCAGAAACATAAATAATTATTGTGAAGTATATGATAGGCTTGATGGTTTGTTATTGCGATAACTAATGGCTCTGGTTTGGCAGATGCTTCTGAGAGCAGTGATGTTTGTGATTGCTTGACATTTCTTCAGTCTTTGCTTAATCCAAAGGCTCATTGCATTCCAAGCATAAAGCATGGCTTTGCACCAAAAGAAAAGAAGAGTTATATTAATAATCTAAGGAATGTTTGGGGGTGCTTTTCTAGTGGCTGCTGCATTGCTTCAGAGGTATTTTCTTTCCCTTGTTTAAACAATCAATTTAAGGTTTTCAGACAGTTCATTCCAACTGATTGAACTTTCATATAAGCATGTAACTCTCCAAAGATCAAAAATTGCCTGAGGATATTTTTAATTCAATAAAAACCCAAGCTGACTTCAGACTTACACAGACTGCATAAATTCAAAACTCCAGAATCTAATAAATCTAAAACTTTTTAATTAAAAGTGGAGATATCTCGATTTAAATGGAGTCAGACATGTCTTTCTGTCACATTTTTGGAGAATTGCCATTTAGCTCCACGAATAGCCATTTACAGTAAAAGGGAGGAGAAGAGTCTGAATAACTTGAGCCAGGGATAGCAGTCCTTTCATCTTCCAGCTGTCTTGCTGGACTTATCTGTTCACAGAAAATATGACATCTCATCTGAGGACCTCCAGTGAGTATTTTGCAAAAGTATAATGTAATTGACACATTTTAATCAATTAAATAAAATTAAGAAGTTGCTTTAAGTGCTACCAAAAATCTGTTAACACCCCAAAAGACAAGGTAGAAGATTTTGTAACCTTTTCTTAGAAAATAAACCCACTGTATTGTTTCTGGGAATTCACTTTCTGTCTCCTGCTCATTCTAAGAAGAGCCTAACGTTAGAACTGTTTCCAGCAACGTTTAAACACATGCTGAATTACGTTGTTCAGCAGGAATGGCTTGTACACTTGGGGCCTGGGCTAGAGATTCGAGGTCCCTCCCACAGTTAGTTTTATTTTTGACTGTGACAGTCCTGGTCACTAGTTTTGAATTTTGAGTCTATACACAGGATTTTGTAGCAGATGTTTTTTTTTTCAGTGATCTTCAGTCTTAAAAATCTTGAAATCGTGGGTTTTCTCATCCAGCCCTTGGAAGTACTTGGTCAGTGCAATCCCACTCAGCCCATTCAGGGTTGAAGTGAGCACTGAAACAGATTGTAGCGAGCAGTGAGGTTTGGCGTTGAGGCGTTGCTCTCTTAGAGTGGCATCCCCTGCTATGGCCATGATAATGTGACCTGCCCTGGAATACAGATATCTACTGCTACCAAATAACAAAAGAGGGCATAATTTTGAGGAGACGGCTCATACGGAAACCACTATTGTTTTTACAATAAAAGCTTTTTCAAGCAATTAAGAAAATATTTTTCTCACAATTCTAATATTTATGTTGTTAATGGTGTCTTTTCTTTTTCAGAACAATAGATCTAAGCAGTAGTTTACTGCAACAAGTAATAGAAAGAAAACGTGAAGTGCTGTGCATCTTGAGAGAAAAGATAATAACAACTCAGAGGTGTACAATATTTGAACATGTCCAGACAGAAGAAAAAGTCAGTGGTGTGATGGGATGCACTGCAAAAACAGTAAAGGTAAAAGTTGTTAAAAATCTGCAAGGAATGGAACATTTGTAGATTATCTGAGAAGACATTTCTGTTTCTCCAGATAGGCTTCAGAGTATTTTTTTTGCTTCTTTAACATGTTTAATTTGCTGTACTGCTTATTTGTGAAACTTCAGAAAGGCAAAATATTTTTTTTCTGTTGCCTTTCTGGCAAAAGATGCCATCTTTTAGTTTCAGTCTGGAATGTAGCTTCCATCAGTACTATCAAATTGTAATTTAGTTTCTATGTAGATTCCTGCCTACAGCAGAACATAAAGGAAATATATAGCAATTCATTGAAAGTTGAATAGAAAAATGCATTGCTGAAGCAAATTTATTTGAAAAGCCAAGTAATCATTCATCACAAATGGTTGCAGTGTCTACTGAGTTTTCGTATTTATTGGGAAGCTATTTGTTTTTGATCATGGGACTGGAGATTAACTGCATTATGAGGATATCTGAAAAACTGCCTGTGAATTGAGAAGGAATTACCAAAGTCAAAACATATGCTCATTCATTTTAAGGTTTTTTTATAAAGGTAGAGATGAATCACTTCTGTGTACAAGGTGTCTCCAGTAGCAGAAATATGGGAGTTGCAGGACAAGCACCCTCTGTGCAAGTGCCACCTTCTGGGTAGTGCTCTCCAGCTGGGCAAAAGATACGTCAAGATAGAATTGGGCAGCGCAGGATACTGAAGTGGGTGCCCATTTCCTAGTGACATGGTGTTTCATGTGTGGCAAAAACTGCATCTGGAACTTAACTTTATGCTGGGGCAGGGTAGCTGAGAGTTTGAGAACTGCTCTTGGCGTTGTGCTCTACCTTGCTCTTCATCTAGTTCCTTTTGCAGATGTCAAATATAACAGGCTTAAGTTAGACATCACGGAGAATAAAGCACATTCTTTCTCTGTATTTTTCTCCTTAATTATGTGTTTAAGCTATGCAATAGCTGAATCAGATAACTGGTGAATAAATCTGTCTTTTAGGTTTCAGTAAGTGAAAACGGAAGTATGGTGAAGGATTCTAGTGTGATTCTTGAAATTCCTCCTGCAACCACTATTGCCTACGGTGTAATTGAACTGTTTATAAAGCACAATGGCCAGTTTGGTAAGTGAAAGGCTCATTTTCTGTGGCACCCAGTTCAGCTGTGGACAAAGCTGTCTGTTGGGCAATGATTTTTCCATTTCCCTGTGCATGAAGGCGATGATGTTGTATGGTCTTTTTTGCCTTGATAATTATTTGTGCTGGAAATGCTGCACTTCTGATTTAGTAATGCTTTTTGATTTGCTTGAATACATTTGAAACCCAGAATAACTTAGGTTTCAGAGGAGCACAGGAGGTCATCTAGCTTAAGCCCCAGCCAAGTCAGGCCAACTTTTGAACTTAGATCTAAAGTCAGAGTTAGATCAGATTGCTTGTCTACTCCAAAATTTTGATTATCTCTGGAGACAGAGATTCCATTTCTCCTCTGGGCAGCCTGTTACCATGTTTGACCACTATGGTGGTGAAGGGTTTTTTTTGTCCTTAATATGAGAATTTCCCTTTCTTTAATTTGTGTCTCTTGCTTTTTGTCCTGTCGTCATACAGAGGAGTTGGCTCTGCCTTCTCTTCACACTTCCATTGGGTAGTTATAGAGAGCAGAAAGGTTCTCCCTTAGCAGTGCTTTCTCCAGGTTGGACAAACCCAATCTCTCAGCCTCTCCTCATTTTTTATGTTCTTCAGCCCCCTGTGATCTTGGTGGCTGTTTTCCAGATTGCTCCAGTATGTGAATGTGGGGCTTGTGCTGCAGAGTCCAAAACTGGGCACAACACTGAATACAGTCTCCCAAACTGAAAATTCAGTTTCCTTAATCTGCTAGCTACACTCTTGTTTGTACAGCCCAGGATGCAGCAAACTTCAATAACTGCAGGGGCACACTGCTTATTCTCTCAAATTTGTGATCCACGTCTTTTTCTACAATTTTGCTTCTAACTAGCTGGCCCTTTGCTTGTGCTGTTCCGTTCACCTGTTGACAGGAGAGTGACCTGAATGTAAATCAATGGCCAACCAGGAATGTTTAGACAACAGTCGTGCTAAGAAAAGAATCATGCGTACAGGACTGGAATTTAAACTTTTCTAACTTACACTTTCATATACAGATTGCCCTCAGAATGCTTGCAGAAATGTCCTTGTCGTGTTTTCTGGTCATGCTTTACTTATGTCAGGTCAAATATTTTTCAGGTTAAAAAAAACTGTTGAAATTGGCTTTGGGGGGATGTAGCTCTGTTCTGCAGAATCACTTGGGTTTTTCTTTCTTGTCTATCCTTATTTAAACTCCCTGACCTAAAGGAGGTTTCAGAGGATATTACGCAAGAAGAAAGGAAATCAGATGGACTGTGTAGAGCTGGAAGTTGGGAAGGACTCATGTGGAGAGAAACAGGAGATATGTTGAAGAAATAATTCAAGTACAGTTGAGATTTGAATCCAAGATGCACTTTATTTGGATAAGAGATGCAGAAGATAATTCTGCATCATCCTCCTTCAACTCACTTCTGATATCAAGGAAGTCAGTAGGCTTGGGAATAGAAGTAAATATTATGTAACCTGAAGTTTCTGAAATGTGGAATTGCTCTGACGTAGACTGAACACAGAGATAACGGCAGAGGACATTGACTTCATGGTTATAATAGAACTGTAATTTAGAGTAATGAGGTGCAATTAAGGCTGTCTGACTACATAGGTGTGTAGCTGATAATCTACTTAAAGGATTTCCAGATGAAATTCCTATGCTAGCTGATGATACATGGGTCTTGTTAATGATCTGTATTTCTCTGCTCTTTTCACCTTCTGCTTCTTTTCCCACTCTTTTTTTCATATTTAATGTTAATATCTTTCAAGCTCCAAAAACCAGCACAGCTTGTTTCATGTTTTACCTCAAACAATCCATGTCTTGCCTCTCTACCTTTTTAATTTGAGCTATTTTCCCTTGCCTGCCTATCATTGAGAAGGTAAAGGGTAGGAACTAACAATGAAATTAAGGATTTGCCAGCAAGAATAAGTATGGTGGAGCCTAAACTTCAGCTTGTTAATGTCTGAGCAGCAATGATCAGTGTCTGTTTGTGGAAATAGAAATAGCCTTTGAAGTTAAATCCAGGAACTAATGTAGTCCTTTCTCATGAGACTGGAAGTGACCTCTAGCAGGTGTAACGGAGAGGGACTCTCTTCAGAGATAATTATGGAATAGGGTACATATAAACTTCTGGTTTTCTTTGCCATGGCAGTGCTTGAGTTATTGTTAGGAAGAATGGTATATAAATTTTCTTTAAAATGTTCTGGCTGATGTGACAGAACATGCTTGGACATTTTTATAAGTAAAATGTGTGGCTTTCTTCCTCTTAAGTATTTGTAAACTGAACAGTCCTAATCTTTTCCACTTTTTCACACACAGGAGTCTCTTTCATTGCTTTCATTGATCATCTCTGGTTTTCATGCATTTTTATTAACGTTTCTGAATAACTAACAAGTTCTAACTGCACTGTTGGAGATTAGTCATCGATTAATGTAATAGCATTCAATGTAGAATTCATTAACAGTCCTATTAATACAAAATTTTGAGTCCTGTGTTTTCCTCTGAATCGAGTCCCATTTCAAGAGTGAACAGCAGGGTCTGTATCTCTTAACACACAGATCATCTGAAAAGTTTTATTTCCCTTATTAGCCTTTTCCCTTATTCTGCCTCAAGAGGGGAGTCAGTTTGTCAGCACTGTCTTCCTCCTCAGGGTACACATGAAAGCCTTATTATTATCAATGAAAGTAACATGAGCGAGTTGGCCTGATGGTGCCTCAGCTGCTGTCCAGAGTCTTGTTGCTTTACTCCTGGAAAAGCTGGCAGCCCATGGCTTGGACAGGGGCACTCTGTGCTGGGTCAGGAACTGGCTGGAGGGCCGGGCCCAGAGAGTGCTGGTGAACGGGGCTGCATCCAGCTGGCGGCCGGTCACCAGTGGTGTCCCCCAGGGTCAGTGCTGGGCCCAGTCCTGTTTAACATCT